TCTTGCTTATCTACTAAGCCACACTTTAGTTTTGCATAACAATCCAAGCATCAACATAACACACACATTAGTACGCAGAATTTGGGGTAGATTAACAGCAAACTCACAGTACTAGGAAAGGGGTAATAAAGGGAGGGGAAGAGGTAGGGGTCACAAGAGTGGAGGTTAAAAAGAGGCGGAAGAATATGGTGGCAAAAAAGAACCAAATATTCTGGCACCAAATTAGTTGTTATAAAAATATTATGGGGGAAGTGAAACTACAGTATACATGAGTGAAGTTAATTGGACCCAGTCTGTTTATAGCACCTTCCCCCGCCTCAAAAGACGAGCTGGCCCCACTGAAACATTTGCTAATTATACTGCAAAGCATGACTGCCCCAGTGTTACCACAGAGCTTAATCACCAGACACTCTTACAATATTTGGAATCTCCCTTCTCTAGTGAAACAAGTTGATGGGCTTGTTTTTCCCCTTATGAGTAAAGTTTAGCTGAAAGTTTCAAGAGAAACAAACCAATGTCACCTGTGGTCACCTACCTGGCCTTTGGAGATGGGTGTGCACAGAGTTGTCTGGAACTGGAGGCATTCAGCGTGGGTGGGTTGATCTCTGTATAAGGTATTGGCAGGTGTATCAGCTTACTGTGCTTGGATAACAAACACCAGCTGAGACTTTTCATACCATGAAAACTATTTCTAACACAGGGTACTAAAATTTTCATGTGTGGGGGGGGGCTTGGGGGTGTGTATGCGTGTATGCATGTCTCCCTCCTCATCCCCCACTCCCAATAAAACCCACTAAAGAGCAATTTTGGAATTTGTTTCAATCATCCAAATGTCACAGAACGTTGATCTCATTCTACTATTTAAATAAGTGAGGGTGATGGGTAGCAAATCTTGTACCTTCTTTAGGTGGATCTTGAAGGGCAGGCTAATAAATTCAAAGCATCGCTTTTGGAGGCAGGGGAGGGAGTCAGTAGGACTGAAGCTGAAGCCCTCTGCTTTCATCATCATAAAAAGCAGAAGAGATTAGAACACAATTTGATTCAACAACCCTATGTGCACTACACTGTGTTAAACTCTAGTAATATAAAAGGATTTTTAAAAAAACAAACAAAAAAACAACAGCCCCTACTCTCAAAGAACTTACATTCCACAAGCAAGATACAACATGTACACAGCTACATATCAATCCTCTCCACATGTTTTATATTCCAGTCAAGTTGAATTTCTCAAAATTCTTTATACTTTCTCACCTATGTGCTTTTGCTCATGCTGTTTCCTATGCCTAGAACTCCCACTAGGACTATCTCTAACTTTTCAGACAAAGTAGCTTTAAGAGAAGGAAAATATACTACCAGCTAGGGGATGGAAGGGAAGAGAAAATCAGAAAAGGTCTGGCATAGGAAGGGATATCTGTACTGTGCTTTGAAGGAAAAAAAGTGATGACTGTGAGTAAGCAATGCATTACAGATATGGAGGATGACCTATGTAAAGGCATGGTCACAGAAGATAGAACAGTCATAAATGGCAAATGGCTAGCAGGCCACTTTGACTGGACCAGAGGGGAGTAACATGAAATAGTACTGCGGAGGTAGTTGGGAGATGTATAGAATGTTTCAAATCCAAGCTAAGAATTCTATTTTATCCCAGAAACAACAGTGAGCCATTGAAGATTTCTCAGTAAAAGAATGGCATAGTCAGATGTGTGTTTTAGGAATATCGATTTAACAGCTGTATGAAGGCTGGATTGGAGAGGTGAGAAAAGAAACAAGAAGACATATTCAGAGGCTACTGTTAATTATTCAGGAAAACAGTTACTCTAAGGTAGAAGTTTTTGATGTTCACAGTAGAAGCCATTTTTCTGAAAGCTTGATAATTATCATGTTCTCACAAGATATTAGCATTTTGTATAAAATTCATGGCTACAGTACATTTCCTTTGGTCTTTTTGCTTTTTAATATCCAAAGAGGGATATAAACACCATTCATTTCAGCAGAGAACTAGATTCTAATTTCCCATTGCTAAAACAAGAGAAAGGCAGTTCTGGAAAAATTATGCTTTGTTCATACTCCTAAATTGGAAAATTTTCATTCTAATGCCTGTCACAATTATCTTCCAAGAGAAATTGGATAATTATCCAATAGAACGACAATGGTTTCATCTAATACCTTGATGGTTAACAGAAGACAGAACACCTCAGAAAGAGATGTTTTGCCTGTCCTTGTACAGATCCCATCCGTGTTCTCATGTCTACAAACATGCTCATTCAATGTCACTTCCTAACTGATCACAACACAGACAGATACAAATTGACAGTTAACTAAATTTGTTATCCCAGCCCAAAGCAATAGTCATTAGGAAATAGAGACGTGGCAAACGGATTATAAGGGAGATTCCCACTGTATTCTACTGAAAATTTTGCTTTGTTTCCCAGTTGGTGGGGGAGGTTCTACTGAAATGAACCAAACAAAATGAACCAGTACACTGCAGCATGACACCAGTGACTAAAAGCAGGCTGGGATGAGTTTAAAAAACATCAGCAGAGGAAAATTCCACAGCTTATTGTTTAAAAAAAAAAAAGCTTTGAAACTCATCTCACTCCTGAGCAGGGAATGCTAACCAGAAAATAAATTAAATTGCCCACATATTGTCATCCATGCACTCACTTCCATATCTACAGGCCTGTGAAACTAATGGAGCTTTTAGCAGGTACTTTACAACTGTACAAAAGAGCTAGCCTAGTTGCTGGAAGGTAAAAATATTTCTCTCATTACCTACACATAAGAAGAGATAATTTGGTTCATTTGTATTCAGGCTCAGAGACAAAAACAGGTGACGTTCTTAAACGACAGCATGCTCAAATTCTCCCAATACCATTTGCCCCAGAAGCCTCCCAGGCACCTGCAGTCCACTGCAACAGCCATTAATTATCTAAGATTCAGACACTAACTCCATACTGTACAATGGTTAGGCACAGAGTGGTAATGTACATGCCCAGACCTACATTTTTTCAGTATCCTAACTCAGTTTTACATCAGGTCATGTTACAATGCAAGACCTGTTTGGGCATCTGATTCCACAAAACTGGAGGGCTTGGAAAAGCACCTTCTAACCCTGTCTCTTACAGAGTTTCAGTGCAATTGCTTGGTAGCCAATGAGCTCTAGCTACTTAATAGCAGCAAACCAGCAACCCTGGGCTGTCAGTACCCAGGGCCAGTGTAAGATTCACATTAAAGTTTCAAAGACCTGCTTTCCATTCTGAGCAGAGAATCTTTGATGGAAACCAACAGGGGCTGCATCTAGAGTAGGGCAAAATGTTGCGGAGCCCTTTGTAAACAACGATTATAGTCCTATTATAAACTATTATAAACTAATTATCTAAGATTTTCATTGCATTCAATGTAACTTAACAAGTGCCTACTACATGCACAACATTATAGTGGGTTCTTTGTCTATGATAAGGATTTGTGAGTCAGGAGACCTGGGTTCTAGTCTGTGTTCTGCCATTGAAACGTGTATCTGAATTCACATCGTAGAGGGATTTAATTTCTAGTCTACTACGGTACAATACTTCACTGGCAGTCAACCCCACCCTTTCTAAATAAGGGTTATCTAGGAGGCATATAAGGAATTTAAATCACCATCCTCTTTACCAGATACTTTAAGCAATTAGGAGGGATTTTACAAAGCCAAGATACAGCTAAAATCTATTTAATGAACACAAAACAGTTCACTAACCTCGGCTACTGGGATAGTACCCGCACTAGTGACACACAGCTGCCCTATCTCGCAGATCAAGGCCCTAGGCTAAGTGGTTTTTTAAAAAACCACTGGCTACTACAAACATGCAATACATTACTGCTCTATTATACGGTGCCAGCCCTGCACAAGGACTTTTTGAGCCTTGTGAGAAAGCTTGTGAAATTCACTTTCTAAATTTCTTCTTCGATCATCTTATAAGAAGCCTCTCCCTCTCCCTTTTCCTCTCCCCTCCAGGTATACACAGCATGACAATGAACATGATTTCATATGCCTCCCATTTCGTGATCAAAATAACACAAATGAAAAAGAGATGACAGAAACGGACCTCATGCACTGATTAATCTTCGCTAGTTATTATGGATGCCTGCTTCCAGTAGGCCCTACAAGACAAAATCTAGTAGTTCTTGCAATGCAACACTTATTTTCTCATCCTCTACTATATGTTCACCGTAACCCACCCACCTTATTCCCCAGAAGGTGAAGTTTTGGAGCAAAGGGGGATTGCAAAGAAGAGAAAGAAGCCACTACTAATTAGGGCATCAAATCCACACCCACAGATCCACAGCAGCCAGGGCTAGATTGTCCCTAAGAGACTACAGATAATACTGTCAAACCTGTAAGTGGCAGCCAACAGGGGTGCACCTTTTTATTTGGGGGATGCGGAAGGGGAAGGGGATGATCCAAAAGCAGAAAATCCTCTTAAATGGAAGCAGGGCGGGGAGCGGGGGGGAAGGTTGGGAATCCACCTATGGTTAGAAAGCAAAGGCAGTAAACTCCCTAACCTCAGGCTCAATATCGTGGCCAGTGTGGGAAATGGAAGAGACATTCACGAGGGAAAGGAAGAGAAGGGGCGGAGAGGAACTGAAGCTCAGGGTCCAGCACACGCCCACATCCCTCAATTAGGGGATAGCTCCCAGAGCTGGCCCAAGGCGAGGGGAGCGTACACCTTCTCCTCTTCCTGGCTTTTGCGCCTCCTCCCCGCCCCCCCCCCCCCCCCCCCAACAAACCCCGGGGGCCCCCCCCCCCCCCCCCCCCCGGGGGCGCCCCCCCCCCCGGGCGGCCCGGGGGGGGGGCGCCCCCCCCGCCCCCCTCCTCCGGGTTGTGCCCCCCCCCCCCCCCCCCCCCCCCCCCGGCTGCAAGAACCAGGGGTGCACGCCCTGCACCATCTCCAGGGTCCTCTCGCCAGGCCGGAATTTCGAGTTGGGATGGGGGAGGGGGGGGCGGTGCCCGGGGGTCTCACCATAGATCATAGCCAGGCCGGTCTCATGCAGGAAGCGCACCCGGCGGTGTTTGAAGAGCCAGATGGTGAGGATGGTGAGGGTGAGGAGCAGGATGAACGTCAGGAGGCTCACGCTGTCCTGCCGGTGGCTCTCCTCCGCCTCCTTCTCGGTGGCTATCTCCTCCATGGCGCTGCTGTCCTCGGCGCGCAGACCCCTACCCAGCTGCAGCAGTAGCAGCAACAGCCCGAACAGCAGAGGCGGTGGGGGCCCCGGGCTCGCCCGGAGCGCCGGGCGAAGCGGTGGCACCATGGCCCCGCCGGGGCAACCTGGGCTCGCTCTGTTTTGGCTTCCCTGCCCTCGCGCCCGGCTTCCCGAACTGGGGAGGTGCAGTCGCTGAACCGCCCCTGCAGCTGCGGGTCGTACTCCCACTGCCGCCGGCGCGGCCGCTCTGCTCTCACTTATTCACCCAGAGAGGCTCCCGCGGCTGCTGCTGGGCTGCTGCTGCTGCTGGGGCTGCTGCTGCGGCTGCTGCTGCTGCTTCAGCTCCCGCTCCAGCTCTAGCTTTTGCTGCTGCTCCTGGGGCTGCGGCAGCCCCGCCTCCTGCTGCTGTCACCACCTGGAAAGAGAGGAGGAAGCTCAAGTGCGCAGGATCCCCAAACCCCTCCCATCTCCCCTGCTCCCCAGCTCCGCCGGCTGGAGAGCGGCAGAGCGCCCGCCCGGCGTGGCCACTCCCGTAGACCGCGCGCTCGCTCGCTCCGCCTCGGAACTGCCGCCTTGTTTCCCACCGCCTGTTCCTAGCGCAAGCGCGCCCGGGAATCCGGGAGCCTGGGAGTCTCAACTGCTTTGCCGCGGGGCTCAGCAGATCTTTCGTCCCGGTGCAAGGTGCCTTGCTTCCTTCTCAATCAGGGAAATTTTGGGTTCACGTTTAGATTTCAGGGGATCCATGCACTTGGGCGGTGAAAAAAAAAGATATTTTTATTTTCACTAACCCTTTGAAATTTAGCAATTTAGCAATCCTCCAATTATGAATATAGGGAATATTCTACAGGAGTATGAGCTTAATAAATATTAGTTGACTATTAATTAGGCTTCATCAGACTGCGGGAAGGGTAGGTCCACTACACAAAAATAGGCTACGGATTCGTGCTCAAAATTCTCAAAATCCTTCCCATTAGTATCTTGCTTCCCAATCAAGGGGTTGAGTCCATCCTTCCCTCCCCCTAAAATTGGGGTGGGGTAGGATCCCTGTTTGCAAAGACTTCATTCTTTGTTATCCGAGATGTGATGAGATCTTTAGACTTGAAGGGCTGAGACTGGAACCCTGGCTTCTCTTTCTTGATCTTCCACCTAATTAGTTGCATGATCTTCCGACCCTTTCATTGGTAGTTAGCATTCTAATGATTGTATGGTAGGATTTCATGGAGATCTGCTGGATTCCAAAACAGTCCTCAGCTTTTGTCAGAGGTGGGATTTGAACCCACGTTTTCTTGACTCCCAAATCCAACTCTCTAGACTACACATGGCTACCTCTCAAAGCTGAGGGTTTTGGCTATTGATAATTGGATAAAATGAAGGTGACTGTAAAGCAGGGTTAGATTAGTCCATAGCAGAAAGTGGAGGAGACATTTGCATTTTAGGTCCTACAAGTTAGAAATCTATTCTTTGCAACCTGTGCATTGTTTCTGAGGAGGCCTAGGGATATTATGAAGCTGCTGAAGATACAGTATCCAAACCCTGAAGACATTTATATGATCCTTCCTCTTCACCTTTCCCTTGTCTATCATTAATTCCTAGTTGCTTTGAGGATCTTTGGAAGCAAATAATCTGCTAAATCAAATCACAATAAGGTAATATCCCTTTGTCCCATATTCCTTCCAGTAGGAGTTGCCTTTTAAAGGTGGGGCTCCAGAAATAGATCAAAGCTTATCTCAAAGGACTGTGGAATCTGGAGGTCAAAGAAACAGAGCTACAGGTTGGCTAAGTAGACAGATCCTTAAGTTGCATCTTTTTTTTTTAGTGACAGGTTGAGCCCAATGAATCTATCATGAAGGAAGTCTCCACTAATTTAGAGATCTTATTCTCAAACAGAATATTCTGATGAGATTGATTACAGTGAAAACATGAAACAATCCTGATCTTCCAAAGTTAACATTCTCCTCCCCAATCACTTGATATCCTGCCCCTTTTATTCAACTTTCCCAGATAAGGAAAGTGGAAGAGCAGTCACTGGGGACTGTCTGTAATAGTACCTTGAGGCTGTGTATTTGTGTGTGTCTTTATTTGTGAGTATCTTCCTTTGGGTCCTTGAAATCCTCCTGGAAACTTCCTATCACTGATGCTAATTAAGCGGGCGCCATCATTTATTTATCTCCAGTTAAATGGGCCAAGGTGGAAGGAATTAGTGCTCTCTGGAAGGAATTTGAGATCCCAGGGTTGAGGAATTCCCCAACACCCAGCTACTCTACACTATTCCATTCAGGAACCCAAAGTCCATGAAGTTCATACAAGCTTCCCACTGAAATTCCAAATGCTAAAATTCTTGGTCATTGGAGATACCATATAAGAGCAAAGATAACTTGATTAAATTTCTAGGAACTGCCCTAAATCTATGATTTACCAAAAATATGGATTATTCTTCACACTACAAAAGTTAAACTTTACAGATTAGTCAGTCAACCATTTATTAAGCTCCTTCTACATACCAAGCACTGTGCTAAACACTGGAAATACAAACAGAGGCAAAGGACAGTTTCTCCCTTCAAAGAGATCAAAATCTAATCAGGAATACAACTTTAGAGATTGATAAGGCACCAGATAGGATAGCCATCCTTAGAGATAGCCTATCTTAACTCCCTTTTTCTACACATAAAGAAACTAAGGCCCGAAAGGCTGATTTACTAATCTAGATTAAAAAATATCTGAATATCCTCTCCCTCTCTACTATCCTGTGACGTTTTCTAGAAATGCTAGTTATAGCAGTAACACAAGAGAAAGAAATTATAGACATAAACGTTGACAGGCAGGAGGCTAAACTACCAGTGTTTGTAGATGATAGTTTGTATAGAAAACCCAGGGAATCAGAAAAGAAACTATTGACATAAATAATAGCTTCAGTGAAGCAGCAAGATACAAAATAAATCCACAAAATTGTCCGAATTTCTACATAGCAATAACAAAACCCAGGAGGATAAATGGAAAGGGAAATTCCATTCAAAATACCTTCAAAATGAATTAGATAGCTGGTAGTCAATCTACTAAGATATACTCAAGACATAGAAATACAAAAAAAAGATTTAAAGAAAAACTAAAATACCATGCAAATTAATTTATAGATTTAGTGTTATACTATTCAAACTGCAAGGTTTACCATTCTGGAAAACAATTTGGAATTATCCTACAAACCTTTTTTGTAAATCATTGTTACAAGGGAAAAGTTCTGGAAAAGAGAGAAGAATGAATTTATTTAGAAATTAGTGGGACAAAAGCAAAAGGCATCCATAAAATGTTTCGATATCTGTATATTATTTTAAAATGTTGGACAGATCCATTAGTATAGCATAAAAGGATTCTTAATTATGTTTTATATTCTATATTCCCATTGTAGCCTTGACTAATCACAAAGAAACATTTAAATAAAACATTAAATCACATGTATACAAAAACCATATCATTACTCCTTCACTTTCCCCCTAATTATAAACTCCTGTGGGTCAACTTTAACTTGAAATCCTCAAATCTTCCTCTGAACTGTCTCTCATTTTAGCTCAGATTCAAGATTAAGGCAGATTAATTTGTGCTTGCTTGACAGAATGGTTCCACTGTATCCACTGGAGAAGGAAATGGTAAACCGCTTTGGATCTTTACCAAGAAAACCCCAAATGGAATCATGAAGGGTGGGACACAACTGAAACAACCAAACAACAACAAGAATAAGGCTTCACAAAAGCCCCTAGAATGTAATGCCCTTTCTCAGTTAAAACTTCAAGCCTCCCTAAAATTCACCAAGTAATACCACCTGCCCAGCCTCCCATTTTTTGAGATAAAATCTCATTTTAGGAACCTATGTTGTTGTTTTTTAAATTTTTAAATTAATTTATTTTGATTTATCAACCATCACTTCCATACACTTTTGAGTTTTGCATTTTTCTCCCCCCCCCTCCCCACCTCCTTCCCCAAGATGGCGTGCAATCTGATATAGGTTATACATACACATTCCTATTAAACATATTTTCACATTAGTCATGTTATAAGGAAGAATTAGAACCAATAGGAGGAACCACAAAAAAGAGGAAACAAAACAAAACAGAAATAAAAAATAGCAAACAGCATGCTTCAATCTGCTTTTAAACTCCATAGTTCTTTCTTTGGATGTGGATAGCATTTTCCATCATGAGACTTTTGGAGATGTCTTAGATCCTTGCATTGCTGAGAAGGGCTAAGTCTATCAAAGTTAGTCATCACACAATATGGCTGTTACCATGTACAACATTCTCCTGGTTCTGCTCACTTCATTCAGCATCAGAGCATACAAGTCTTTCCAGGTTTTTCTGAAGTCCACCTGCTCATCATTTCTTATAGCACAATAGTATTCTATCACATTCATATACCACAACTTGTTCAGTCATTCCCCAATTGATAGGCATCCCCTCAATTTCCAATTCTTTGCCACTACAAAAAGAGCTGCTATAAATATTTTTGTACATGTGGGTCCTTTTCCCATTTTTATGATCTCTTTGGGATACAGCCCTAGAAGTGCTATTGCTGGGTCAAAAGGTATGCACATTTTTATGGCCCTTTGGCCATAAAAAAATTGCTCTCCAAAATGGTTGAATCATTTCACAACTCCACCAGAAATGCATTAGTGTTTACAAGATATTTTAAGAAGTCTTTCTTGTTTTGTATTTTTTGGCGAGGCAATTCGGGTTAAGTGACTTGCCCAGAGTCATACAGCTAGTAAGCGTTATGTGTCTGAGGTCAGATTTGAGCTCAGGTCCTCCTGACTCCAGGGCCAGCCTAGCTGCCCCTAAGAAGTCTTTTCCTTTTCCTTTTAGTCTCTGGGCAACACATCTTTTTCATTTTCTTATCCATTCCCTAATACTTCCAGAGCTTCAATAAGTTTATACTGTTAGGTCTATCTTACTTATAGAGACATTAAGATCGACCTTTAAACCACCCCAAATCCTTGCATTCCTGAGGCTAGAAACCCATTTTTTGGCATCTTATTTAAGTAGCCATTCTATCTCTGAAAGTTTAGTAGTTTCCTTGCATAGCAGATAGACTATGGGAAAATGATGATTTGTTGGGGTTTT